CATGCTCGACTCAACAATACGTTTCTCTGTCCGCAGTTCAAGTACACACATTACCTTACCTTCACTTCTTGGCCGTCTTATACAAAAGAATACCGTACATCTGGTAACCTCCCGAGGATTCACGAAGCTTCGAGAATATGACGTGTTACTAGAGTCACGTGACCTCCGCTGTCCTAACAGTATTATAGAACACTTGGAGGGAGCTCAGTACTAAATGATAATAGTAAAAGATGTATTTTGTTTAAAAAAGCACGATTTTCACGCATACCTGGTATAAAAGTACAATTGTCTTGTAACTAATATTTAATGAAGTTTTAAAATTTTCTAAAGTAAAGAACTCACTGCAAGTATTTAACATTTATATTTTAATTCTTGTAAACGAAATATGATAAGCATACTGCACGATATATTTGAAAGTCTATAAGCGGTATAAAAGGGCATATATCGGAAGAATTTTGAAAATTTAGAAAAACTAAAATATTTTACCTTTCTCAGCTAGAGAGAGAGAATATATAGTAGTTTTCCATGTATCTTATCTTTACGTTTTACCTAGTAAATAAAATATCTTTATTTAAACATAATGTTGCGTCAGCGAGGTCACGTGACTAATATCACGCCACTTCCGTCTCGAACCTTCGGAAATTATCGGGAGACTACTAGATTGGGGGTAGTCTGGTATATATGGGATGGTCACAACGTGACGAACAGTGTAGTGAGTAATTGAACTGCAGTCAGAGAGTGTGTAATTGAACTAAATATTGTCGAGCACGAGCACGTGAGACGTTCTAGCGTTTTTTATAGGGCGACTGTTGAAATTAAGTGTATCGGTAAAGTTGTATTCGGAAAGAATAAATCAGTTTTATTTAAGAAAGGACTTGTGTTGCTAAAGTTTCGTTGGAACGAATTTACGGAAAATTAACTAACGACTGGAGACGTAACAAATTGGTGTCAGAAGTGGGATAGAAAAAAAATGGAAACGAGAAGCGGCAAATCAAATTACAGCCTAGCAGACTTGATGGCAGCAATACAAGAACAGCAAAAGAAACAAGAAGAACGAGAAGAGAAATTACAACAGTTGTTAGAGGAAAAAGAAAAGAAACAAAAAGAACGAGAGAATAAACAAGAAAAAACAAGAAGAGAGATTACAGCAGTTGCAAGAAAACCTGCAACAGTGGTAGCTCGAACAGCAAAATAAACAAGAAGATAGATTACAACAGCTATTGGAGGAGAAAGAAAATAAACAAGAAGAGAGACTACAGCAGTGGCAACTAGAACAAGAAAGGAAACAGGAAGAAAGTATCCAACAGTTGCGGGAAAGTCAGCAGCAACTACAGGAAAATCAACAACAATGTCAAGAAGTACAAATGGAAAACATTAGTAAATTTAAAAGCGAATTAGATACGTTAAAGGGCGATTTATTGTCTGTTGCACAAGGAGGATACATTGACCATCGACTTAATCAGCCCCAGACAATGGCAAGCCCCTTACAGACCCTGCAGCTAAACCCTAATGCAGACATATTCAGTCCCGTTAGAAGTCACATCCCAGATATGAATGTCAGTACTAGGAGTGATCCAGTACGAAGAAAGCCACAGGAATTTCATGGGAAGGCACCGTGGGAAGCATATAGAGCACAATTTGAGCTACTGGCAGAGATGAATGGATGGACAGCGGAGCAGAAAGCAGTATATCCAACGAGCTTGAAGGGACAACCACTGGAAATACTTGGACAATTGTCCGCAGACGACAGACACAACTATAGAACACTGGTAGCGGCTCTAGAACTCAGGTACGGAACCCAAAATCAGTCGGAAGCCTACAGGGCTTGGTTTAGGACGAGAGTCCGTGCTAAAGGGGAGAGCCTGCAAGAGCTGGCACAGAACTTGGAAAGCATGGCACGCAGGGCCTACCAAACTGTACCACCCGATCTCCTCAAGTTG